GTCGGGTCAGGTAATACACATGTCGGTATGGGACGGAGCGAGAAGACTCATCCTTATATGTTATATATAAAAAAGAGCACCATATTTAATTCTTTTGCAAGCAAATATTAAGAAAACACTTCATAAAATGAATGAGAAATATATTAGAAGAAATAATTGAGTCTAAATAGTAGAAATACATAATCTTATAATTTTTTGAGCTGAAAGTATGATTTTAGAAATGTCAAAAGAAGAGACATATAGGTTGATATTGACACAAGTCATGATAGAACGGGTCGAGAAAGGGAAAGGGCATGTCAGAAGAAATATCCATGTCTAGCCTCACGTTACTACAGGTCAGACAAACATGCCCAAAACAGATCGGGACAGGTCAGGTCGCACGGATCGAATCTGAAATTGCTATCAATACTCATATGAATCTTGACAAGTTTGGCTCGTTATCTATCTATCTATCTATCTATCTATCTATCTATCTATCTATACATACATACATACATACATACATACATACATACATACATAATATTATGGCAATTCAAAATTAAATTTTTGCCACATAAGCACTTGGAGAGATCTCAAGTTGCCAAGGTGGACAATTTTTTACCAAAAAAATAGATATTGACCTATTTATGGAGTTGTCCATCTCTCTTCATTTAATATTTAATTCTCTTTTATCCAATAATTACTATGCTTTTGTTTTTGCATTATATCTATAAATAATATATGGAGAGAAAGGTTATCAAACCGGTTTAGCAAGTGGAATGGTTTTACCAGTGGTGCAACCAGTTTGTGTCGTTTCATGCCGGTTAATAAAATATGTAGAAATATAAAAAAAGCATTAATATCAAATGAATTGAATCATATATAAGCTATATTTGAAGACAATTTACGTGCAATGCATATTGATATTTGAATAAAATATAATATTCAAATAAAATTACATGTACTCATACTTAAATTCACTAAAACTACGTATTTTACTAAGGAATTCGTAAAACGATCATACCGGTCATACCGATGGTGTCATGTAGATTTCATGACCGGTACCAGTTGAAGGGTTCGACCGGTGGCATGCCGACCGAAGTGACAATCATGATGGAGAGTGACATATATCACATTTTGGTTTTGCATTATATCGATGTACGCAACAGTATACTAATGTTCGTAGAGTGACATATATATCACACTTTTTAAACCAAAAAATATATGATTAAAGATTACTATGTAAATTTCTGCTCATTTTTACTAAAAATTAATAATAATTTATATTTTAATGAATAATTTAAACAAACACACAAAAATAATAATATTTGGTCGATAATGTCTGAAAGAAACTTGACAAAGAAATAATAGTTATTTATTAAAAAAAGCTTTTTATTCATTCTGATCAAGTGAAAACATATGAATCGCTTGTGTAGTATTTATAATGTATCCTAAGTTCACATTACAAATATTTTCTCTAGGTCATGTTGATTGAGCAAGCTCTATTGACGTCTTACATCATATGCTAAGAAATTTTCTTTTCAGACTTGGATTTATTTATTGATAAAGATTATAAATTGAAGTTTCCAAAATGACTTGATATAATAGTTGATGAACTTTGACTGAGACACGAGATCACGTGAAAAATAAAATGTGTGAAATTTAGAAAACTCTTTGTTAAGGATGTTCGTTAAACATCGCATTTCATGCTAAGAAAAATCTAAATTCGAAGATTGAGGTAATAAATAAACATTAATGTTTTACTTCACATATATAACAAAGAATTTTTATAATTACAATAGTGTAAACCGAGCTATTGGGTCAAAAGAAGAATATTTAATAAATATGAGTTTAGTAAGAAAATTGTAACAAGTCTATATAGTTGTGAGTCTGTGATTTCATACAAAATTTTGGCAATAACAAAAAAAATTGATATCATATTCCACTCAAGGAGCTGAGTTCAAAGGTATTAATTAGTGTTGAAATTAAAATAAACTCTCTCCATATATATATGTTTAGATATTAACAATAGATATGTCTACAATACATCCAATAATTTAAATACATGTGAAAAGTCACAATGTTTGTATGAATTTTAAATTTTGCTACAAAATATTTTGTTAAAAAATTATAAGTTAATTATTCAAGCAATACATAATTTTGAATGCACCTGAAATATTTGTCTGTCGTAGTATACACACTTTACCAATAATTAATATAAGTAATGAAATTTTCGTTCTAGAACTAACGCCAAATATAAAGAAATTTTAGTGAATGGACATTAAAATAGTTGAAAAATTATACATTGAAGAAACATGTTAAGATGAGAACCTTCGATAGTGTATATGAATCCTTGGATTCAGATTCTAAATGAACATCTAGACAAAATGTATGGGTTGAGGGTTAGTACAAACTTAAAATATTAGCAATTGTAATAAGTTGCTACACAAAGACTTCATGAACATCAACAATAAAAATGAGTGAGGTTTAGAGAATTTAATCATTATAAGGGATACGATGTGTGTCAAATTTCAATTGGGATAAACATAATTTATCCAGTAATCAAGTATCTTTTTTCAATAATTTGAACTCTGATTAATTGGCTGAGTTTTCGTACAAATTCGAGAATCATGAATTGATATATGTTGTATAAGATAATAATTTGAGCGTCTTGGTGGAAAATTTTGTATATACTATCCTAAATGGGACGTGATAAACCTTTACGACATGATTTATGATCAGAGAATAAAAACATCACAAGCAAGTGTGCTAACTATTAAATAATATTCGATATAGGCATACCACATATTCACTTATGAAGCGAGAGCAGAAAATGTATACAAGATCCAAAAAGTTCAAACAGGTAAATAAGTTAACTAATATAAATAATAAAATGAACTTGTCCGGTCAACTGGCCGGGTAAAAAATTAGTATTGAATAAGGAAGAAGAAGAACATTAATGAAGATATATTATAAAAGAAAGGAGAGTGGAGAGAGGGAGAGAAAGATATTTAAAGATAAGGAAGATAAAGCAATTAGTGGTGGAGAAGATATGAGAAAAAATTAAAAGACAAATAATTGAGCCGGTCAAAGCAGGTTAAATCAACCTAATTCGACAGGGACTACCCGAATTGAACCTGATGTTGACGAGTTTTAGGTCAAGAACGAGTTTTACCCGCTTTTGTAATTGAAGGATTGGGTTGGCAGCTATTCATTTAACTTGCACCTAAAAACAAAACAATCAACCTGGTCAAAGCGGGTTAAATCAACCTAATTCGATCGGACCATCCAAGTTGAACTTGTTGTTGGCGAGTTTTAGGCTAGGAGCTAGTTTTACCCGCTTTTGTAATTGAAGGGTTAGCTCGGGCTTTGGTAATACTCGTGTGGGTACGTGGCAGGCGGGCCAACCCACTCTAACATGTTATTTGAATACAAAATACACATAACATTTGACTTTTTACGATAAAACGAAGAGAAAAAGCTTTATGAATCAAATAGTGTTAATAGAATGGGTAATTGGGACTAATTAGTTGAAAGATCAAGTCTAAATAATTGACAAAAGGTCAAAATATGAAAAATATGAATAGATATTATAAGAAATGATGATAGAATTGACCAAGAACAGGACTGTGCGGGGCAGGACGGGTCGAAAAATAGATACGCAAGCCTCACTCCATGCTAATGCGGATCGGGTAATATCCACTCCATTGCGGGTCAGATCAGGTAATACCCATCAGGGCGGCTTCAAATCGCCATCCCGACCTGCACCTAAAAAACAAAACAATCGACCTTGTCAAATCAGGTTCAATTCAGTGTTGACGAGTTTTGGTTCGGGGGCAAGTTTTACCCACTTTTATAATTAGTTGGTTGGGTCGGATGTGTATTTGTTAAAAACTCGACCTAGTTAAAGGTATTTTCTTTAATTATGACAGTCGTACCCAAATTCATGGGTATTCAATCTAATTGAACCCAATCAAAGCGAGTACAACTCGGTGGTGATGAGTTTTATGTCTGGAGCGAGAGTTTCACCTGCTTTTGTAATTGATGGATTGGGACGGGTATGGATTTTGTTAAAAACTATGTCCGCTTAATCAAAACCTTAGTGTTAATTAAACTTTAAACAATTGAGCTCATACACATGGGTATTCAATATAATTCGACCCGGTCAAAGTGAGTTGAAATTGGTGTGGATGAGTTTTGGGTTCAGAGGGGTTGGGTGTGGATTTTGTTAAAAACTCGGGCAAGGTTTCTTCCGACCCACATCTAAAAAATTAAATACTCGACTCGGTCAAAGTAGGTTATGTGGTGACGAGTTTGGTTCGAGAGCGAGTTTTACTTGATTTTGTAATTACCGGGTTCTATTAGGTGTGGATTTTGTTGAAAATTCAACGCGCTTTTAATCCGACTCGGATCAAACACAAAACAATTGATCTGGTCAAAACTAGTTCAACCTGGTGTTGACGAGTTTCGGATCAAGAGCAAGTTAAATCCGGTATCGATGATTTTTCTGTCGGGATCGAATTTTACCCTCTTTTTTATTGATGTGTTCGGTCAGGTGTAGATTATTTTGTTAAAAAACTCGCTCTGGTTTCCATCTGACCCGCAACCAAATAACAAAACAACAAATTTTAATCGGGTGTTGACAAGTTCTGGTGCAGGACGAGTTTTATCGCTTTTGTAATTAGCATGGTAGATTGAGTGTGGTGTTTTTTTTAAAAAAAAAAATTGGTTCGCTTTCCATTCGACTCGAATAAAGAAAACAAAACAATGTCGAGTATATCTTACACTTTTTATACTTTTGAAAACACATTTCTATTGTGAAATGATATAATAAACGGTACAGTACGTGATAAATCGATAATTTCATATTTATTTACATTCTGAATTATTAAAATCCGTGCTAGTTAAGATTTTATTTTTATATTGGGCGTGTGTTACTCATTTATTAACATATTAATTACCTCATAGAAACTGCCGACTGCCATATATAATATATATAGTAGCCTTTCTAGTTCTTAGACTAGAGAGAGAGGAGAGAGAGAAGAGAGAGATATACAATTATTCATCCATGGAAGGTTCAGAGCTAACAAAGCTAGGGAGCTCTCTCCCAGTGGCTTGCGTTCAAGAGCTTGCCAAGGAACCCCTCCGCAAATTAGGCATCCCTCCCCGCTATATCCGTCCCGATCAAGACCCTCCCAACGCCACTTTACCCGTTCAGCTTCCTGTCATTGATTTGCACAAACTATTCACATCCCATGGTCATAATATTGCAGAGCTGGATAGGCTCCATAACGCTTCCAAACAATGGGGTTTCTTCCAGGTCCTTTAATTTTCCTCAAGCAGTAGTACTAGAGCTTCTAGTTGGCTTCTTTGGGATTACTGTTTTATGTATTAGCCTGCTGGTCTGTTTTTATTTTCTGTGCAGTTGATAAACCATGGAGTGAGCGAGTCGTTGATTGACAGAGTGAAAGCAGAGGTTGAGGGATTGTTTAACCTGCCAATGGCGGAGAAGCAAAAGTACTGGCAGAAACCTGGAGAGATTGAAGGATTTGGGCAAGCCTTTGTGGTTTCCGAGGAGCAGAAGCTGGACTGGGGAGACATCTTCTTCACCACCGCCCTCCCGAAGCATCTCAGGAAGCCTCATCTCTTCCCCAACCTCCCTCTCCCACTCAGGTTCAATTCTCTCTAAACTAGTTCCTTCATCCTCTTAGATCTGGAGAGAACAAAAAAAAAAAAAATTTGGTTTCAGTATTAGAACTGATCACATATTTAATTACCACTGTTTTCACGTTGAATTTAAGCATCCTCGTTCGCCTTATTCGTTTAATGTTTGTTTAGACTGTCTAATCTCACCTGCCACGACTGAAGTGATACAATTGTTGACCTTTTGGATTCAGAGGAGAAAATCAAATTCAATTGCGCGTCTATTTGTATATTGTAGTAGCATTTCGGGGCATCTGTTTTAGTGACGTAAATAAAAGAAAAGAACTTCGTAACCAACAAAACAAAATGATGGCCACAAGCAACCAAATCAAACCGAAAGATTATATGGTGACCATTTTCCTTCCTTTTAGCCATCATTCTTCGGGACTTCCTCGTAACGTGACATCTCTCATGACTATCAACACTTCAACAGTAGGGCTATTAAAGATCAATTCCAATCTATTTTGTGAAATTCAATGTATAAAAATTTAGTATTCTCATTTTTTTCCTTTGATACCATTCTTATATGAATAAAAATTTATTAGGGATTGCAGAGCTACTCGTGAGTAATTTTACGTAAATCCAAGTTAACCAATTTGATTATGGATTTTGGATGGGTGAAGTTTTTATAGATTGATATTTATTGGATAGGCTAAAAAGAATATATATATATATATTTTGCTTCAATATAATAAATAAATATGGATTGAGTAAGGGATGACAAAAATATCCGTAACCGTGGATATCCACCCGAATCCGACCTAATCGGGTAGGGTAAAACTCGAACCCGAAGCATTTTTCGTGGGTACGGGTAAAACCCGAACCCGAATATTGCGGGTAATGGGTTGGCATGGTTATCTCACTATCCAACCCGAACCCGCCCGATTATACACATGCATATGTATTTTGTCTAGAAATAATCATTATTTTTTCCCTAGAATATTTTATATTTAGCATATAAATATAATATTTTCATGAAATTATGTTGTTTTAATTAATTTTCGTTATTCTAGTGAATTATTGTCGTACTTTTCCTCTTACGTAATGTGAATATAAGTGTGAAAGTTAACATATTGGTTGGAATTATAAGGAGAAATTATTACCCATGGATAACCGTGGATACCCGAAACCCGAACGGGTATGGGCATGGTTTTGATTTTCTACCCGTTTCTCGTGTGGGTACGGGTATGGGTAAAACCCGAACTACATTGGGTAGGGTAACGGATATGCACTATCCGCCCCCGATCCGACCCATTGCCATCCCTTGAGTTAGGATTTACCCATTTTTTTTAGATAATTTTAACTCCACATAATATTTGGATTTTTTGTAAATTTTTAAAATTTAGGAATTAAATTTTATGGTAAAAAAATAATTACCATATTTTTATTTTTAACACTATTTTTTGGACTTATTTGCAAGAAAAAATGTAAGTTTGTTATTAAATGATAAAATATGTTACGTTTGAATACGAAACTGTTATTTTGAAGTGGGTATGGGTAAAAACTCAAATTCATGGATTAAATCCAACTCAAGATCTCCCAAATGGAGAGATTTTTCCAGAAATAGCACTGTTAAAAATGTTCAAAAATAACACCTTTTTTCCGAAAAATTTCAAAAATAACACCCTTTCCCAAAAACCGCCACCCCAGGGCGCACTTTTCGATGAAAACCGCACTGGTAGGGTGCGGTTTTGCAAACCGCACACCCACCATGCGGTTTGTTTGTAGACCGCACCCCCACCATGTGGTCTTTCTTTTTTTTAAATCATAACCTAGGTGGAAACTTCAAACGAACATATCTTTGTGTTCAGGTATCCGATCGTCGCGATTTTTTTTTTATTCTGCATATCTTTTGGAGATCTTGCAAGCCGAAGACTGCCAAATGTGGTTTGGTCTCGCCTTCATCCCAAAAAATGTTGTTTGCTACCCCGAACGAGCTTATTTCCGATTTCGTCAAACTTTGGACAACCATAACTTTGTACTCCAAAATCTAAACGACATGAATTTTTTTATTTCGCATAAATTTTTAAGGAATACAACTTTTATTATAGACATAGTTTTGAAATGTACGTGGATTGCTGAAAAAGGAAGGTAAGCTATTCCCAAAATCCTGTATATCCAAAAATAATTCATGTTTTGAAAATTCATTCCTAGTAAAAATTGTAGTCCTTAAAAAGTTATGCGAAATGATAAAAAAAATCTTGAAGTTCAGATTTTGGAGTACAAAGTTATGGTTGTCCAAAGTTTGACGAAATCGGAAATAAGCTCGTTCGGGGTAGCAAACGACATTTTTTTGGACGAATGCGAGACCAGACCACCTTCCGCAGTCTTCGGCTTGCAAGATCTGAAACAGTTATGCAGAATAAAAAAAATCGCGACGATCGGATACCCGACCACAAAGATATGTTCGTTTGAAGTTTCCATCTAGGTTAGGATTTTTCAAAAAAAAAAAACACAGACCGCATGGTGGGGGTGCGGTTTGCAAAACCGCCCCCTACCAGTGCGGTTTTCGCCTAAACCGTTGGTACAGCTGGCGGTTTTTGGGAAAGGGTGCTATTTTTGAAATTTTTCGGAGTTGGGTGCTATTTTTTGAATTTTTTTTTAACAGTGCTATTTCTAGAAAAATCGATATGAGTATACATCCTCAAACTCTGTTAACTTATGTTATATTTGGGTATGAGTATTCATTGATTATACCATTACGCCGGTTTAGCAAGTAGTATGATCCAATCAGGATACAACTAGTTTATATGTCGATTTTGCGTACCAAAACATATGAAATGGAAAATAGTTAAAATCAAATGAATTCTGCATTTTCATAATCTATGTTAAGACAATCTACATATAATCTCCATCCATATTTAAATAAAATATTACATTATAAATAATATGACGAACCGTCATATTTAAATGCAACATTTAACGTTAACATTCACTTACACTTGAATTCAATAAATAACTTCAACGTCTAATTGTTATACTTTAATTCAACAAAATTATTTCTTTTTTGTTAGTTAATTTCACCAAAAGCATGTCATTTTGTAAAGGGATAGAAAATTAAACTTTCCATTAGTATCACTCTTTTAATTTCTCCATTTTGATTATTTTTTACTGTTTTTGACTACCGCTTTATACCAGTGATCTTCCGATCAATTTTCTTTCATACCGTGTTGTACCTAGTTGTGTGGGCCGGCATAAAAGTATTTTGACAATCATGGTGAACATCTACATGTTCATACTTGAATCCAACTAATTTCTTTTTTTTGTTAGTTAATTTCACCAAAACGATAGGATTTTGTACAAAAATAGAAAATTAAATGTTCCAGTACTGTCACTCTTCTCTCAATTTTGATGAACTTTAACTGGTTTTGACTCGTTGGTCTTCCATTCTTCCCACACCCACAGCCCACACTCCACTTCCACTCCCAATTCCCAAATCCTCCCATCTCTTTCTCTAGAGTTTTTGATGGGAGAAGCTCTCCCTTCTCTCCTTCGCCTGGGGCGCTGGATTGGAATGCTTCTGATCTCAATGGTGCTAGCGATCCTGTCCCAATGTGAGAAGAATCAAGAGGAGAGGAAGGCAAATCTGTTGGACAGATGGTGGCGATCTCATGCTCACGAGCAGATGAAGCAAACAGCTGGGGAGGCAACGCGGAAAACTGAAGATCCAAAAGTCCAGTTCCACCTTTCGTCGCGAGCTAATAAAATACAAATGGCGATAAAAAGAAAACTAAGGCAAGAAGACACCGAGAATCATTCGGTAGTGCTACTGAAACATAAACGTCGGAGGGTAGAACGTCGAAGTGTTTGGAGATTTGTTTTGCCCTCTTTCGACGAAGTTGAGAAGGAAGGGCTGGTAGCAATTCCACCCAGAATGATCCCCAACGAAAGGGTGATCGGGGCTACCTCCTTTCCTCTCTATCCGATCGGAGCCTCCGTACCGGCACCGGCTGAGCCTTCCGAGCATATAATCCGACAACCGGAAACTGGTCGACGGGAGGTAGTTAGGCAGACTCGATGGGAGATTCCGATCTATCAGGCAACGGCTGAGGATTTCCCTCTCTCCGATCGAACCCCAAATTCCGTCGGGATCTTCGGGGCAGAAGGAAAAAAAAATCAAAATAATAATAATAAATTATTCCTAAAGCGGATTAACACGCTTCCAGCGGTTAAATCCAAGTCTCCTAACCCAGATGGGAGTTCGAAAACCCTAATCCGGCTGGCGAGAGACGTACCGAAGGTTGGACTGGGATTTCTATTTAATTCATCTAAACTGGCCATTTGCCCTCTAAGGGTTCAGCTTAACCGTCAAAGGCAAAAGGCTAGTAGAGATCCCAATCCAATCCAGCTCGGTTTCCTCCCTAGCGCAGGTATATCTCATTCTTGGGTTTTCCAATCTTTGAACATACGTGCATGTTCTAGTCACGTAGAGCTTCAACCTATGCATGAAATGGCTTCCCATGAAAGTCTTCCAGCTTATGGAGACGGGGAAGAGATAGGCTTAGGCTCGGCGATGAAGGGAACTAATGATTGCCCGGTTGATACCCATCTTATGCAGGTACAAACGATGGCGCATGTTACCTCTGATCAAGTGGTCCAGTTTTCTATGGAGGAAGTTCAGTCTACCAAATATCGGGCGGCTCATTCATTATTGGGCAGGGTGTTCACCGATAATAGAATCTCGACCACTGAACTCCGAGATGCGGTTCTTGATCCTTGGCTCATCCAAGGCCGCCTCAGGGTGGTGCTCGCTAAGAATGGACTGGTTGAGTTCATGCTTCCCAGCGAGGAGGCTAAGATTTGGGTGCTTAAACGATCACCATGGGTGGTCAATGACAAGATCATCCATCTCCGCCCCTGGACCTCGGTCATAACCAAGCAAATTTATGAGGATCTTGTTGTTGTTCCGTTCCGGATCCAGCTGTGGACATCAAGGAGGACTGTTGTACGCAGCAATTTGGGAGGAAAATGGTGAGTTCAACTGTTGGCAAGGTCCTGGAATCTGGGGTTTTTGCCTGCCAAGAAACAGGCACGTGGTTTGTAAAAGTAAAAGCTCTGGTCGACTTCTCCAAGCCGCTCCGTTCGCAGATAATGGCAACAAATGATGATACCGGATGCTTCTGGGTGGGTCTGAAATACGAGTATTTGCCTAGCTTCTGTTACCAGTGTGGTAGGGTGGGGCACTCGATGCGGACATGCTCCTTTCCACCGCCGACCAGGAAGGAGAAATTCGGACCCCACATGACAACACGAAAGCTTGGAACTCGTATTTATGATAATGAAGACCAGACTCAATCATTCACCAGGGGAAACAACTCTGTATGGGTGAATAAAAACCTACAGGAACAGACGTTTGGTGGGGTGAATGCGGCTCAACCGGCCAAATTTCTTGGGGAAATCAGGCCGGATGCTTACCCAGGCCCAAGTCGCCCAAATCATCCTGATGTCCGGGCAGCGGTATCTGCAAAAGGCGGGCCGCGTCACAGTCCGCGTGGGTTTAAATTAGCCCGCTCGCCCCAGATCAAGGTGGGCCGAAGCCCACCTGTTGTCCCGACACAGAGAATGATGGGGGCTGCTCAACAGCGGGCCAAGAAAGCTGCGCAAGGCGAGGGACAATTCGCCAATAGGGGGATCGACGATCCAGTTCAAGAGAGCCTGCAGGGGTGGAGAACGGCCACGGCGATTGGGGGAGACGATCGGTCTGAGTTCGCTGGAGAAAAGATGAGTGCAGAGGAAAGTCCTAGGGCGGTGCCAAGGATGGAACCACGTCGTCGTCGCCTCCTCCTTGACGACTCGGACGACGAGGTCATCATTCCTACTGTTCGGGTCGAGGCTGCAGACCAGGAGCTGGGAGGGAAGAAGAAAGGGCGCCGATTGGTCAAGGGTATTGGCGGCGCTGCGGCGGGCAAAAATGCAAAGCCCCGGGCAGCTACATCCTCGGCAAGGAAGGTAAGGCTGCCGAAGGATGTCTTAGAACCGGCTGCCTCTTCCAGGAAGAAACCTATACCAAAACAGAAAGATGGTGCCGAGAAGAAAAAAACAAAAGTGGGGGGTGTGAAGGAGGGTTGTTCCATTGAGGAGGTGCGACCTTTGGAACAACAAGCTAAAGGCAAGGAGCCTGTGATGGGTAAGGAGGAAGAACATGGTGCTTTGGCGACATCCTCTTCTGATGAGGATGGGCAGCAGTTTGTCCTCAAAAGCCGCATTCCCTTGAAGGACCAGGAGGTCCATATTCCCTCTGGCCAGGTTAAACAAGTGGTGGCCGCTTTTGAAGCTCATTTGGCCATAAATGAGGAGAAGGAGCCTCTTGCTGCTGGTGAAGGGGAAATGATTATGAAGCTCAACGAGTATGGATCCAATTTTGAGGAGGGAGCTCGTAAACGTGCTCTTGAAGAGTTGGAGGGCGAGATAGGGGAGGCTCCTACTCCCAAAAAACAGTTTGTGGAGGAAGAAAAGGA